GGCTGAAGTCGGACGCTTAACCGACTGCGCCACCCAGGCGCCCCCAATTTTTATTTCTAAAAATTCTCAATTTTCAATTTGCTAACAACTTCTTTAAAAAATCATAAATGGACAGTAATTTTCAACGATTACTTTATTTTTTTTAATTTTTTTTCAACGTTTATTTATTTTTGTGACAGAGAGAGACAGAGCATGAACGGGGGAGGGGCAGAGAGAGAGGGAGACACAGAATCAGAAGCAGGCTCCAGGCTCTGAGCCATCAGCCCAGAGCCCGACGCGGGGCTCGAACTCACGGACCGCGAGATCGTGACCCGGCTGAAGTCGGACACTTAACCGACTGTGCCACCCAGGCGCCCCGAGATAGCACCTTTAAAATTATAAAATATAATGTTTATCTTGCATTTTATGTGATGCTGGAGACGATTCAGGAGGAAGGAGGAAGAAAAAGTAGGAAGAAAGGGAGAGGTGCAGAATCCCTCCAGAGCAAGGATTGCCTAGATGTTGGACCACCCCTCTTCCTCGCACACATCACCTGAGGGAAATGCCATAAAAATTAGTCACCAAAAACAGATGAGGCTGTCTTATTCTGGCATTCCCCCTAAGAAGGCCTTAAGACAAGGACTTGAATGCAGATAGTGGTCCCAAGGAGCTCACAAGGGGGAGTGGGGAAGTGAAATCAGGAAGGGAAAAGCTGATAAAGGGAGAGTTAATGTGTGGATTACTACTCTGGGCAACTGGGGATCAACGCTGCTAAGACATCTTGTGGAACACACCTCAGGATTTGTCCCAATGAAAAACAAAGAGACGGGTAAACAGCCCCTGGATTATGCCTCCTCTAGATGCAAGGAACTCCTGTGGTGTGGGAGGGAGCCTTCAGACCAAGAAGTTGAGAGGGGCAGGTGCTTGAGATGGGGAAGGACTTCCCCATGGTTGAAGATGAACTTGGAAGGGGGCCACGGGGAGCTCCCATATATCTCCCTCTGCCCCACTGGCAGCAACAGTGTCTGGGGCTGTTGAGGCAAGGTGATTACCTTCTAATGTCATTCCAGTAGAGAGCTGGCACAAATGCCTTTCTTCCGGAGTACCAGGTTCACCAGACAGAGGGATACATTTACGAGGTTCTGTAGGGTCCATTGTCTGCAACAACACAGCAGGATTGTTTTTTTACTGTTAGTCACGCGTTTAGTGAAGTAAGCAGGGAACTCAAGGCTATCAGGTTAACAGAGATGAAGAAATGGAGCATCAAAGACAAGTCTGATCTAATTTAAATCTGCTTAAAACTCTTCTTGGTAACATAACTGTTCTGGATCCTATGGTTTTTGGGTGTGGTTTTTTTTTTCTTTTTGTAATGCCAAGGAGATTGAATGTGATCTATAAAATTTTGTTACACATCTGATATAGTAGTTTATTATTTTTTAATCAATCCTCCAAGTTTGCACCTAAAATGTAAGCTTATTTCCGAGGTCTAGAGAAGTATCTCTATGTACGCCATGAAGGTCCCCAGGAAAGATGAGTCAGTGACATCTGCCACATCTCAGTGTTACGGTTTTGGGCTCCACTTGGCTTCCCTAGTTTCCTTTCATCCTTATACTTGTAAGCGAGTGCTTTTTAACTTACCACCATCATATCTATTGGTGCCCAAATTTTCTTCTATAAGTTTAATTGCCTGGTGCTATACCCTGGATTTTTATGCCTCCTCCCATTCATATGTTGAATACCCAATATGATGGTATTAGGAGGTAAATATTTGGGGAAGTGGTTACATCACGAGGGGGTCTACCCCCTCACGAATGGGATTAGTGTCCTTAGAAAAGAGACACTAGAGAGGGGTGCCTAGTTTCGGCTCAGGTCATGAACTCACGGTTCGTGGGTTTGAGCCCCATGTTGGGCTCTGTGCTGATGGTGCGGAGCCCACGTGGGATTCTCTGTCTCTCTCCCTCTCTCTCTCTGCCCCTCCCCTTCTCTCTTTCTCAAAATACATAAAGTTTAGAAAGAAAAAAAAAGAAAAAAAGACAGAAAGAAAGAAAAGAGTTACCAGCGAGCTCCCTCACCCCTTCTGACATGTGAGGGCACAGCAAGAAAGTGGTCATTTGTGAACCAGGAAGCAGGTCCTCACTGGACCGTATCTGGTTCGCAGACTGCATCTGCCGAACCTGCTGGCGCCTTCACCTTGGACTCTCTGCCTCCAGAATTGCAAGAAATAGATTTCTGCATTTATAGGCCACCCAGACTATAGTATTCTGAATGGACCAAGATACCCTTTTTGTGTTCTGTTTTTATATTTTGAATGTGCCAAATTTTTATGCAGTCTATTTTTTAATAGACTTTATTTTTAGAGCAGTTTTAGGTTCACAGCAAAATTGAGTAGATAGTACAAAGAGCTCCCATATATCTCCCTCTGCCCCACACGCATAGCCTTCCTCACTATCAATGTCTGGCACCAGAGTGGTACATTTGTGAATGTGGCACATCAGTAAACCTATACCTACATGTCACTATCATCCAAAGTGCACAGTTTTCCTCTGTGCCTACTTTTAGCGTGGTACCCTCTATGGGTTTTGAGAAACGTAGAATGCCATGCATCTACCACTATAGTCACACAGAACGGTTTCCCGGCTCTAAATCAAATTATATTTCAAAGCAAATACTATCAGGAGACTTCCAAGGAAACGTTCTGGGGTTGGCCAGATCTTTCCCTTCATCAGCAAGGTAGATGCTTGGGCTCCAAATCTAGGTGTCTATAATCTCACCATTTGGGGAGTCATAGGATCAACCCATGAGTCTTTAAATATCAACTTTTACATTTTCAGGGTATCCTCTTATTTTAGAAACATCTAGACAAATGAAGTGAACCAAGGTCACTTTGGCACGGCAGACGAAATGCTCTTGAGTCAAAATGCAGACGGGGATATCCATTTTAAACGCAGTGAGTCTGGTAATCCCAAGTGCGGAGTGTAACGGTGCTTAGGTTTGCATTCAGCGTGGATTTCTCTGACCCAGAGCTCTAATCCTGGATGGCCAGCACTTTAGGAGGATGAGGATTCCTTAATCTCTATCTTCAGACTCTTACCCTCAACAAACCCCTCCAGGCAGCACACAGACGATTTAGGTAGTGCTAATTCTGTCTCAACTGATTAGGGCAGTAGTAGTAAGACATGAAGTTCATGAACTAAAGCCCTTGCCAAATCAGCAGATTTTCACTGAATGCTTGCCTGGTGCATAGTAGCCAGGTGTCAGTTTGATTCCATTTCAGTCTCTCATTGGCTATACTGTGACCATTTATTAAAGTCGGTGCAATCTGAGTTTGGCCAAGCCTGAATTTGAGCAATTACATATGGAATATTTGTTGTGTTGCATTATGATGCATGACTTCTGGGATTGTACTCATTGAAATAAATTAGTTTTTAAATAACTTCTGTATTTGTAAGTTTTTACAAATACAGTTTTTACATTCTAAGAGTAGATCAGTAGAATTAAATGTTTCTACAATCTTGAGAAAAAAATATAAATTCTTAAATGAAAACTAGTGGGAGATATTTACAGAGATCTTTTATTTAAGGTATAAAACAATCCTTAGTAGCTTCACACATTCGCTATTCTAGGTGTCCTATATTAATCTGGGTTCTGAAAAGCATGTTAGTGCTAAAGCATAATTCACACTTCCTTAAATACATTTTCAGTTTAGAAAAATAATAAATAGGAAATTTTTTTAAAAAAATAGGAAGGCTGGGGTGCCTGACCATTAAAAAAAAATAGTTCAGTGGCCACCTCCGGCTTAGGTCATGATCTCCCAGTTGGTGAGTTCGAGCCCCACATCCGGCTGTCTGCTCTCAGCACAGGGCCTGCTCTGGATTCTCTGTGCCCCTCTCTCTCTCTACCCCTCCCCCACTTGCATTCTTTCTCTCTCCCTCTCTCTCTCAAAAATAAATAAAAACATTAAAAAAAGTAGGAAGACCAATAAATTGTCCAAAAGTATTTCATTATCAATACCCCTAGCAGAAAAATTCACGGTGAGAAGAGAGATCATGCTAATTTCACAGTTATAGTTAGAAGTGTGAAAAGTTTATTTTTATATCCAATAATAAAAAGCTTAGAAAATAATTACATAAAACAGTTTGTGAAATGTAAATAATTGTACTGATATTCCAAATACATAGTTTCCTGAGATTACAAGGTGATTCTAAAATTATCCAAGCCCTATTTCAAGTGGAAGAAATAGTTACATTTAAAACATCTTTACCCCAAATGTGCATCATGGCCATTTATAACAGAAAGAAAGACAAAAGACATTGCTCCTTAAAATCTGAGTGGCTGCTTACGTGGGTCCTGAGAAACTTAACAGAAACCCATGGGGGAGGGGAAGGAAAAAAAAAAAGAGGTTAGAGTGGGAGAGAGCCAAAGCATAAGAGACTCTTAAAAACTGAGAACAAACTGAGGGTTGATGGGGGGTGGGAAGGAGGGGAGGGTGGGTGATGGGTATTGAGGAGGGCACCTTTTGGGATGAGCACTGGGTGTTGTATGGAAACCAGTTTGACAATAAATTTCATATATTGAAAAAAAAAATCTGAGTGGCTGATGTCTCCATCAGCCCCACCCCACCTCTTCCTCAAAGATTTCATCCTCATGGGTGGTCAGGCACTGACTTTTTGCTCTTGCGGGGTTCCCAGTCTGGCCGACAGCCCACCTCCTGCAGCTGTTCCTTCCTCTCTGCTCTACTTTGACTCCGAATGCCATCCATTTCCCTCAATATCCACAAAAAAAGCACTCACACAAGGCAAACGTGTTGTGTAGCCAACTTGACTGAGAATTGGCCAATCAGATTGGGAGGGAGGGGGCAGTGTCAAAAACAATTTCAAATTGAACATTAAAGTTCTCCATTGTGAAACATCCCCTTGGGGGAATTTTGACATTTCAAGCCCAGGCTTCTTGTTCTTTTCCTTGACCTTCTCTCAGTTGGTCCCCCAATAATTGCAAAACATTCCTCCCACCTAGTTTTGCAGAGGGCCTCTGTACCCTCTTCCTGACTCTGCTCTGAGCCTCTCCTCAAGAGGACTTTGACTCTGGGTCTCTGCATATTCCCGCCCCTCCCCAGCCTTGCCGAGGATAGGGAAGGAACTTAGAGGCTTCTTTTCTACTGGCTTGAGTTGTGTCACTAACAGCCCACTTTGGAGGTCAGCTAGACTTAATTTTTGTTTTAAATAACAATAAGCATACACAAGCACAATATAAATGAAATGAGGTATCACTGTAGTAGTAAGCATCACTGTCCACAAAGGCAGTTAGTACCGAAGCACTTGGCAGTGGCCCTGAAATATATTTCACTTTTCCTAAAGGCATATACTTTATTAAAGCACTGTTCTAAATGCATTGCGTCACAATGCGACCCCTGGAAAGTGTCGGTGAAGGCATATGGGGTGTGCATGCTTCCCTCACCTCTCACTTCTTTTCATTCTGGAAGCTCGTTGTCATTAGAGCCACCTATGCTTCCTTGAGATGTAAAGTTCTAGACACATTTGCAAATACTGTAATGAAAAAGACTAAACCTTTTCATCATTAAGCAAGTAGAGATTATGTAATATCTTCACTACTTGAATTCAATATAACTTATGCACTGCTATAATTTGAATAAATTACGTTCACTTTCTCCAAATGATCGTGAGGCAAAACCCATTGTATATAAATTTGTACGTAGGTCAAAGTGACATCTAGTAGTACCCGTATAACTGAACTGAATTTTAGATATTTTAGTGAGATTGTTAGAAAGAATGAGTTAAGAAATAGTTAACATAGGGTTTTTTTCATGATTATCATTGACTGCTCCTCAATGTTTTTTTCTCAAAGTTTCTACTCTGACATTTCATAGTCCGCACATCGTAATTCTTTTTGGAATATAGTTATCTGCAGTAACAAAAGGCCATTAGAAGAATAACGCATAGTAAATGTATAGGAGCAACACACAGAGGCAGGTACTTAATCTATTTGAAGATAAGAAAACATTTGA